TATGGTTAGAAAAGGCATATGATAAGTGAAGAGGACAAATGGGCCGGGATGTTGCAAGTACGTGTATATGGAATAGGTGGTATTACTAAATGCTGTAAAGAGTTTTTATGAGGATAGTGAGGCTCAGGTTAGGGTGTGTAGAAGAGAGGGAGAATACTTCCCAGTAAAAGTAGGTCTTAGACAGGAATGTGTAATGTCACCATGGTTGTTTAATATATTTATAGATGGGGTTGTAAATGAAGTAAATGCTAGGGTGTTCGGGAGAGGGGTGGGATTAAATTATGGGGAATCAAATACAAAATGGGAGTTGACACAGTTACTTTTTGCTGATGATACTGTGCTTATGGGAGATTCTAAAGAAAAGTTGCAAAGGTTACTGGACGAGTTTGGGTGTGTCAAGGTAGAAAGTTGAAAGTGAACATAGATAAGAATAAGGTGATGAGGGTATCAAATTATTTAGATAAATAAAAATTGGATATCACATTGGAGAGAGGGAGTATGGAAGAAGTGAATGTTTTCAGATATTTGGGAGTTGACGTGTCAGCAGATGGGTTTATGAAGGATGAGGTTAACCATAGAATTGATGAAGGAAAAACGGTGAGTGGTGCATTGAGGTATCTGCGGAGACAAAAAACGTTATCTATGGAGGCAAAGAAGGGAATGTACGAAAGTATAGTGGTACCAACACTCTTATATGGGTGTGAAGCTTGGGTTGTAAATGCTGCAGCAAGGAGACGGTTGGAGGCAGTGGAGATGTAGTCTAAGGGCATTGTGTGGTGTAAATATTATGCAGAGAATTCGGAGTGTGGAAATTAGGAGGAGGTGTGGAGTTAATAAAAGTATTAGTCAGAGAGCTGAAGAGGGGTTGTTGAGGAGGTTCGGTCATTTAGAGAGAATGGATGGCAGTAGAATGACTTGGAGAACGTATCAATCTATAGGGAAAGGAAGGCAAGGTGGTGTAAGGGTCGTCCTCGAAAAGGTTGGAGAAAGGGGGTAAAGGAAGTTTTGTGGGCAAGGGGCTTGGACTTCCAGCAAGCGTGCGTGAGCGTGTTAGATAGGAGTGAATGGAGATGAATGGTTTTTGGGATCTGACGAGCTGTTGGAGTGTGAGCAGAGTAATATTTAGTGAAGGGATTCAGGGAAACCGGTTATTTTTATATAGCTGGACTTGAGTCCTGGAAATGGGAAGTGCAATGCCTGCACTTTAAGGGAGGGGTTTAGGATATTGGCAGTTTGGGAGGGTATGTTTTATATGCTTCTAAACTGTTGTGTTCTGAACACCTCTGCAAAGACAGTGATTATGTGTGAGTGAGGTGAAAGTGTTGAATGATGATGAAAGTATTTTCTTTTTGTGGATTTTCTTTCTTTTTCAGTCACCCTGCCTCGGTGGGATACGGCCGACTTGTTGCAAAAAAAAAAAAAAAAACATGGTTTTACGAGCAAGCTGGGGCATACGAAAACCAGGGTTCCACTGTACAGTAATCACAATATACTGTATCCGATGCCTATCCTTTTTTTTTATTTCAGTCTGTGAAAAGATGTGATTTCTTAAGCTTAGAAGTTTGTAATGAAGTTAGAAAAGAAGAAGATATCAAAAATTCTAGAGGATCAGACAATGCAAAACATGTGAAAATTTGCCTGGACTGCCTCCAAGTGAGTTGCCTACCCTGGCAAGCTCTGTTGACACCAAGCTCTGAGGCCGGTACCTCAGCCTCACAAGTGGCTTATAGGGCAGATTTTCATAAATGACTGATGTTGCAAGAAATCTCGCCTGCATGCACGTTTAAAGGACTAACTTACTTGGTGATGTAGAATCTATTCTAGTCTTCCACCTCCCTAAGCTTAGCCCCTTTGGACTTCCCCTCAGAAACCATGTGCAACCGGGAGCCTTAATTCCTGCAATATTCAATCGTTTTTAGTGACCTGCCTGCACCTCAGAAATTCCTGTTTCCAACGGGGGGGGGTGAATCCCCTAGAATACTATGCAGAAAGTGACACTAGCTTCTAGGTTGACAAGAGACACTGGTACGTACTGGGCATGCACTGCCAGCTGCACAAAGGCCTACAGCTCAACTCACTCGCAACTTTCCCCAGACACTGGCCAGAATCCTAAGAAAAAGTGGAGGTCTTGTCTTACTGTATGGGCTTGATGGAGGAGGTCATCTACAGTACATCGAGGTGCCTCCACCAGATTTCCCCAGGTCTAATATGTGAAGACACTTGGGGGGCACCGCCTGCTGATCACGGCACGTGTTGTTCAGATGGTGTCTAGTCCAAGAAGAAAGCTCTGGCGTCTTTGACACCCGCGCCTTGTCGTTCAAACTTGGGCTGCCAGTTCTCCCTAGCTAACTTAACCTAGTGTTTGCCTACATTTGGCGTATTACTACCTATGTTAAGGTCTTAGGTCTACATTATTATTATCTACAGTTGCCTCAATAATCCTAATATTAGTGTACTAACAGTATAAACTACCTACTTCTTCCCTGAAGGGTAAATCTATCAATTAAGAAGTACCTTCCAACCACCTTCGCCAACCCAGGTGAGTGTGTTTGTGTGTTGGGTGGGTGTAAGGGCCCTTGAACGGTGTGTTTTTCCCCGCTGGGACTTCTCGGACTGAATAAGTTCCAACATCCTCTCGCTGGCGAAGGTAGGTGCTAAGTCTAAATCAAGTTCACCTTCTGCGAGCCCCCACGGCGGACCCTGGACACGAGTGCCGTCCGGCCACTCTCATCGAGCAGACTGCGGTCTAACTTCAACCGTCCAGTTTCCCCTGCATGGACCTCTGGGGGTGTAAACTTGTTGGTTCCGGTGGTCTTAGCACCCTTTCCTTTAACTTTTAACATCTTTCTTTCTTATGTCTAGCCTTGACTGAGTGGCTCTGTACTTTCCCACCCAGTGGCCCACATGCCCTGGTAGCCTTTCCTCCCACTGATACTAGGTTCCCTGGATTTAATGGCAATCTATCTCCCTCTTTACGTACCCTGTAAAAGTGTTTTTCCAAGGTGGCCGAGTGTTCGTCACTCCCTATCTGGTTCAGCTTCCCTGGCGGTTCATCGTGTATACTGGTACTCATTATCACTATACCCCCAGCTATCATGGGGACAGCTTCCCCTGGCCATAGCAGGGGAATTCAGGTGGAATCCTGAGCCCATGAATGTATCCTGCTGGGGATCTGTATAAACCAATTCCTTCCCTAAACGTCCGTCGTGTAGACAGGAAGTCATCTATCTGATTGGCTCCCACCAGGTCTTTCAATCGCTTAGCTGCTGCAGCAAGACTTCTCGCTGTAATTGCCCTGGGTAACATCTCTACCACCAAGCCTGTAATTCTCTGATCGATGTCCACCTAATTTGACTGTGATATCCACCACATCATAAGATTTGGGTGGGGCCTGTCTTATAGCCCCTCCCAACATCATACTAACTTTCCTTGTGGCCTTCAACTTTAATTTAGCCACCAACTTCTTTGTTATCAAGGATACTTGTGCTCCGGAGTCAAAGAATATTCGGGTTTGTTTTTTCGGACCTGTGCCCATTCACAACCTTTGCCATGACTGTAGTTAGGCAGCACCTCCGTGGAATCACACTCGGATTAGAGACTTCACTTCACTAATCACGCTGGCTACCATATCAGTCTCAGACTTCAACTTTCTATCTCTACTGAGAGATATCCCTACTAGCCCTGGGATTCCCTTAAATTATTGGGAGCATAGTGCAGTATGTGCTTACCTTTGCAACAGACTCGACAGTCACTCAGCTAGATGCCACAGTCTCTCACAAAGGTGTTCTCCACAACTTTGAAGCAGTCTCAACTCCTTTAGTCTCTGTTGCTACTGCCAGTGTGTAGACTCCGGGCAACTCGTGCTAGCGTGTTCGCCTTATAGCAGAACACCATATTCACGGGATAGTGCCTCTGAGGTTCTTGCTTAGATTCTTACCTTAGACACTTCTTTACCATAGTACTCGCAACGTTAGTCGTATAGCTTTAGACAGATCTCTCGAGATCTTTGAGTAACTGTCTAGGTTTTTATGTAGTGATGGTGGTGACTCTTCTCTCACACCTATACTCAAATGAGAAACGAGATCTCCCAACCCCTCAACAATTTGTTGTATCGTGAACCTATTCGTCCGATATTTTAAGTGTAACTCATGCACTGTAGTGCCAGCCAGTTTCCTCTGAATCACCTGGCTAAGGGACCCATTCTGAATCATCCTCATCATGCAAATCTCTGAAACTATTTGTCAAGCTCATAATTTCAATACGGAACTTGTGATGAATGGTTTGAAAAACCGACAAGTTGAAGATTGAGACACTTATGCAGCATGTGGGAATCTTTATTCAGGAAACGTTTCGCCACCCAGTGGCTTCATCAGTCCAATACAAAAGAGAACTAAGGAAAAGGAGTATGAGGTAATCAGTCCCTCAACCTACATTCTACAAGATTGATGGACTGAACACATCGACTCCAGGTTGAGGGACTGATTACCTCATACTCCTCCTCTCCTTACGCCTTCCTCTTTGTATTGGACTGATGAAGCCACTGGGTGGCGAAACATTTCCTGAATAAAGATAACCATATGCTGCATAAGTGTCTCAATCTTCAATACGGAACTTCTCTAGGCTTTGACGGTCATGTCGGCAAGCCTCTAGATCCAACAATCGATAAAGTATGGCCACTTTTATCTCCTCAGTGTTGCCAAACATGCCTTCTAACTGGTCTTTGGCATGTTGGTAATTAGTGTCAGTAATCTGGTAGTGCTGGACCAAGTCTAAGGCTTTACCCTTGAGCTGTGACCGTAAATACTGCAATTTGACGGCATCTGACAAATCGTTCCTGTCATCTATCTGGGCTTTAAACTGTCAAATGTCAGTAAATTCAACTAGGGCAACTGGGCAACATATTGACAGGTGTGTGGTTGTTTGTGGTACCTGCGGTGTTCGACACCACCCTTGGAATACTAGCCTTTAATGTACTTAACTTATCTTTGCACATATTCATCTCCTGTTGACAATCTACATCATCCTTAGTGAATTCGTCCTGAGCCTGCCGCAGACTATCCTGGGATTCACCATCCTCAATAGCCTGTAGCTCATATGCTGAGAATGCTTGTTCGTAGGCTTCCCATTTGTTCCTCAAACGCTTCAGTCTTGCAAATCATCGCAGTCTACTTTACTGCGTTGGCAAGTAGCCTTGCACCTGTTGTGCGTTCTGTTCAGATGCCCTTTGTATGCCGCTACTGATCGTTTTAATTTTGCTAACACTGAACCAGACTTCTGAACTCCCATCTGCCATTGTCGAGGTTTAATTAGGAATGTGACACTAATTGTACTTTACTCAGTCCACCCCACAGCACGAACGGTATTAGGAAAGAATGAACGAGTCTCAAGGCTCCTCAACAAGTTAACGATTCCCTTTGTTATATTGACTCTACTCTAAATAAAAAATGTACACTGTTAGCTCTCAAATCCCGATCAAAATGTGTATCGATGTGAAAGCTTAACCTAGCAATTTCCTGTACAATGTCACAAAAAATTACAGGATTTAACCTATCGGGGTCCCAAGTCAAAAAACCCCACTTTAAAATGATCAAAAAAAATTTGAAAACACACAAAAAAAGGGGCCGGGAATACAAATTTTAAAAAAATCATTTGGGTTTCCCGCACAAATAAAATAAACCCAATTCAACTTGTGAAACAGAAAAATGAATAATGTAGAAAAACACTTGGCTTAACTGTCCCCCAGCTCTCAGTTTTACGTGGAGGGTTTTATAAGGTAAACCTAACCTAACTATGGGGGCTATAGCTTAAACCTGGTTTTTAAAAACCCTCCCTTAAATAATAACTGGGTTAAATTTTTCCTAGCTACTTTTAACTTTTTTGTAAATTTTGCACAAGCCTACCTAACTAGGGCAAATTTGAAAATCCACAAAAGTAATTAACACAAAAAGTCCCTACCTGGTTTAACTTGAATCACTGTAAATAATTAAATTCAAAAAGCTTCTCTAGCCTCCCTTGGCCTGCCCTGAAAAATTACTGCAAATAACATTTTCCTGTGTATATCATTGGGGGCCTACCTCTGGTAACTCTGGGCCTAGGTTACAAAATTTAAACCCTAACTTTTGTTAAACGGGTTCCAAACTGGGCCTACTAGTTTAATTTTAACCTAATTTTTCCCATCATGGTTACAAGGGACCTTTTTGTATAATTTGTCTGGACTGCCCCCCAAGTGAGTTGCCTACCCTGGCAAGCTCTTTTGAAACCAACCCTTCCTGGGGCCGGGTTTAACCTCAGCCTCACAAGTGGCTTATGGGGCAGTTTTTTTCATAAATGTTTGGGATGTTGAAAAGAAATCTCGCTGCATGCACGTTTAAAGGACTAACTTTTTTTGGTTGATGTAAATCTTTCTGGGGCCCTTCCCCCCCCCCCTTTAAGCTAGCACCTTTTGATTTCCCCCTCAGAAACCACGTGCACCGGGGACCCTTTAATTCCTGCAAAATTAAAATCGTTTTTTAGTGCCCTTTCCTGCCCCTCAAAAATTTCCCCTTTTTCCAAGGGGGGGGGAATCCCCTAAATACAATCAAAAGGGACACTAGCTTTTTTTAGGTTTAAAACAAGAGACCCCTGGTACGTACGGGCATGCATTCCAGCGCAAAAACCCCCTACAGCTCCCCCCTCCAACTTTTCCCCAACACTGGCCAAAATCCTAAAAAAAAAGGTGGAGGCCCTTTCTTACGGTAGGCCTGAGGGAGGTCATCTAGGGAACATCAGGGGCCTCCACACGGGCCCCGCCTGCCGATCACGGAAACGTGTTTTTTAAATTTTGGGGGGTCTAGTCAAGAAAAAAGCTCGGGGCTCTTTGAACCCGCACCTCGTTGTTCAAATTTGGGGGCTGCCATTTCCCCCCAAGCTAATTTAACCTGGGGTTTTGCCTACATTTGGCCAAATTACTACCTATGTTGGGGCCTTAGGTCTACATTTTAAATTACTACAGTTGCCTCCAATAATCCTAATATTAGTGTACTAACAGTAAAAAACCTACCTACTTCTTCCCAAAAGGGGTAAATCTACCAATTAAAAAGGGGCCCTTTCCACCCACCTTCCCCAAACCCCGGGGTAGGGGTTTTGTGTTTTGGGGGGTGTAAGGGCCTTTAAACCGGTTTTTTTTTTCCCGGGTTTGGGACTTTTTGGGGGACCGAATATTTCCAAACAAAAAAACAAATTTTTCCCCCAAACAATTTTTCACTAGAAAAAATTTTTCATCATC